TTACAATATTTTGCAACGAAACTTTGGAATATTACTAATTTTGTGATGCTCTTTCAAACTTTGATGAAATTTTTGTCTAGAGATTGGTCCATTAACACATTGGTAGAGCGTTGGTTGGTAGAGCCAAAGGTCGCGGGTTTGATTCCCATATCGCGGTCGCACATTCATTCCGGGGTTTTTATTAGTGGTCTAGAACTAAAATGATAACAGGGGGGGGTCTTGAAGGGGGCAGCGCCTCTATGTTTACAAAGCTTAAAATTTAAACTTGAAAATGACCCAAATAGTATGATCATATAGTAACCAAGTACAGATTACTAACATCATTACCGCATCATTTCAACACTACAGTTGCAAAGAACTTTCCAGGTTATGAATATGCCATCCGCAAAAACATTGAAAGATAAGACCCCCAAACCGGCATGAAATTTTTAACAAGGGGGGCTGAGCTCCCCTGAGCTGCTAGCAAGAGGGCGGGGGCTGAGCTCCCTTTTCTACACCCCTGTTTTTAATCATCCTATCTTGCAGTTGAGAGCTAAGCTGAATTATGAACGACAGAGCTCAACCTGGTCGAGTGGAAGGCTAATTTCTAAGGGTGCCTCTCTCTAAGCTCATTTGCATAATACGACTAGTCGTATATAGGCTATATACGACTATCATTCTTGGCCATGAAAACTAGACTGCTGATGCCACTATTCCTATTCATTTATCGCGAAATTCAAAATGTGACATCTTTACACGCATTTATTCGAGTACATACAACAGTATAGACATATTCTTGTCTACAGGGTGTCCCCAAAAAAATGTCCCCTGTCATATTTGGTGGTATTACTTCGCTATATTTAATCAAAGGTTCAATTTTTTTGCAATGGGTTGAAAAACAATCATATTATATTAATCGTAGTATTTATCTCACCAAAATACTTAACAGTTCGGCTTCTAGAGGGCTTAAGGTGGCGACACCAATTTTGCAACCCGTCCAAATTACAGAAATTAGGTAAAAAATAATGCAAACTTTGTAGAAGGATTTCTAAAATTTCTACCCACCTTTCTGCTTAAAAACAAAATGTTTTTATCTCTATTATTAAACTTTTGTTTCTTGTAGAAATTAATAAAAAAAGATGAAAAATCCCTGGCAAATTGACAAAGGCAAAGCTGAGGTTGGGAAAATGCCTCAAATGTGCTGTTTTCCATTCAATTTGTTCCACGAAAGAGCAAATTTTGGGATTCAGCACCAGTCTTTCCCCTTTTCTGGGAATTGTTCATTATTTTTACAGAAAATTAATTCGCGATTTTGGCTACAACTAATTACAAGTTTTTAGAAAAGATATGTACGTAGCCATTTACCATTAAAATATTTTATTACGTTCCGTAATATGTTTAAACCTAATATCCACAATTTGGACAAGTGGCAATATTGGTGTCGCCACCTTAAGCCACTCTAGAAGGCAAACGGTTAAAATATTTTGGTGCGAAAAAATGCAACGATTAACGTAATATGTTCATTTATAAAAAAAATGAAAAAGTTTGAATATTCGATTACAGGTAACGATGTAGTACCACAAAATATGATAGGGGACATTTTTTTGGGACACCCTGTATATGGCTCTTTTGCGTACGCTATACTGGGCATTAATCTTTATATTACGATTACGATTCCCGCCTGGTTCATCCGACTTGCAAGTACATACAACATGATAAGAATCATGTATAGTCGACTATCCGTATCGTGCAGATGGGGCATTATGAGTCATGTCTGAACACGGAGCGCAGTTCCAGTGGAAGAGTCAGTTAGGGGGCTAATCCCAACCCTCCCTGTCAACATTCACTGCGTGAAGAAACCGTAGTACCCGGAGAAAACCCACGACCTTTGGTAGAGCGTTGACTGACTCTTTTCACAAAGATTTCTTGAGTCTGGAACGACAATCGAACCCACGACTTCAGAGGTGTAAGCTTGCTTTAACAACAAATCGATCCCTGTCAATCATGTACGCTGTGCCGTCATATTTGTCGAAAATAAGATAAAAAGAAGTATTGGTATTTTATCAAAACTTCGTTATTATTTAAATTTAAGCACTCTTAAAAATCTCTATTATGCACTAATACATCCTTTCTTAATCTATGGCATACTTGTATGGGGTTACACTTATCGAACCACTCTCCACCCACTTGTCATTTTACAAAAAAGAATGATCCGAATCATTACCTTTACTAATTATTATGAACATACAAGCCCACTCTTTAAGTCATTAAATATTATGAAAATTTACGATCTGGTGACCTTCCATGTTGCTGTATTTGTGAAAAAATTTCATGATCAACTTTTACCGCCTGTTTTTGATACTTTTTTCAAACCAGTAATTAATGTACATGAATATAATACAAGATTCTCTTTAAATCAAACATTTTTCACCCCCAAAGTTAGAACAAACTATGGAATGTTTAATATTAGGTTCCAGGGCACCAAAATATGGAATTCAATTGCTGAAAGTACTAAAACTCTTCCATTAAGGAAGTTTAAGAGAAAGAATAAGGAGAAAATTCTTGAAAAATACTAGTTTAATTTTATTTCATATTGAATAGGCTATAATTATGTGTCTGTGTCGCGTTGTGTTGTATTTCAGTAATCGTACCGACCTAAAATATACTGGCTGTCTAGATTTTAGCCCCTATGGTTGTTATAGACGGTCAGTACTCATATGCTATTTATATTTCAATTTCAAAATATATTCATGTAAATTTTAATTGAATGAGTGAAATACATATTTTGTTGTTGTTGTTGTTGTTGTTGTTGTTGTTGTTGTTGTTGTTGTTGCTGTTGTTGTTGTTGTTGTTGTTGTTGTTGTTGTTGTTGTTGTTGTTGTTGTTATTGTTGTTGTTGTATGTAGTTTTGTATTGCGATATGTTGTTTTGTGTTGTATTCTTAAAATGTTGCAAATTTTAAAGGGCCCACAATAATTCACCTATTCACCAATAGCGACGCCATCTTGAATTTCTTGAAATTGAAGGGCTGTAAATCAAATATGTGGGCGAAAACACACGTTTTTATAGTTGAAACTAACAGACACTTTTTAGAAGAACTAGGAAAACACACAAAAGCTGGGAAAAATAAAAAAATATCAGGATAAATTCTATAGTTTAAATCTTTGTTAGGCCTAAAAAGGGAAATAATTTCAACAAAGTGCGCATAAAATTGATTTACACTGCCTCATTGTCCTCAAGAAAGTGTTTATGAAAAAAAACCGTTTCTACGGCTAAACGTTTCTACATCACAAGCAATCTTCTGTGCATTGTTGTCTTTGCAAACACTTTTTGCGGCTATTTCTTTCTGCTTACAATTTCTTGTCCGGCTAATAAAAGTTTATTAATTAAGTTTGCAAACTTTTTTTCGCTTCTCATAATGTGCAAATAATTAAGTAGTGGACTTTTTTGTTCCGTGCAAAGAATTTGTAAGGATTTCTCATCCCCCTTCCAAAAAAGCAATCGAGTAGTATTTTTTGTGATTTGTATAGGTTATTTTGAGGCAACGAGGGGATGTGTGATTTATTCACCGAGGCGCGCAGCGCCGAGGTGAACAAACACATATCCCCGAGGTGCCTCAAAATAACGTACTTATTTTTCACATTGCAAGGTCGCGTTAATGAGTCAGAATAGAAATAATTCTTAATATATGCCATATTGCCTTCGTGATGTTGTTTTTTCTCATTTTTTCTGCTGCAAAGACATTGCAGGTGAATATTAGAGGGGATTATTAAACGGAAATTGATTAGAGGGGAATATTGAATATGTTCCCTGATAAGAACAAAGGAAACCGAGCAGGGTGAAAATTAAGACTTGTTAATGAGGGGCCGGTTGTTCAAACGACAGTTAGCTTAATCCTAGGTTAATGAAAAATGTCGAACTGCTTGTTTATAAACATGGACATATTTTGCCAGAAATCTTGTCTGGATTTGTGACTTGACTTGTCTTGTGACTTGATTTGTTAATCAGATTAACGACTTGTGCAGTGCAGCTGGGTTGTATCACAGTATGACTGTGAGCTAGTACATGTTAATATATGTGAGTAGTTCAAGTAGAAGTGGAAAGTTTTTTACAGCATTATCACTTGAACATTCACATATAATTATGATAGGTGACTTGAGTTGGACTCATAGACGTAGGAAATGTGGGGGCTGAGCCCGCCGAGCATATGAGTCACGTTTCAAGGGGAGTTATTTTTAGACTTTTACGGTCAGGATTAAGGTTAGGATTAGAGTAAAGTTAGGTTTAAGGTTAGCTTAGTTTAAAGTACAACAGAATACAAAATTACAAAAGTCTAAAAATAGCAACTTCCCCCAAAACGTGACAGGTATCAAATCGTAATCCATCTTCACCCTCCGGTGTTATTGACCATGCATGCCAAATTAATAACCATGTGCTTGCCCTCCACGAGGTTTACCAACAAACACTTAGACCACATGTGAACAGAGACGTTTTGATTTGACGTCCGCTACGCTACCTCATCTCACTCTGGCTTAGCACGCATCTGATTGGTTAATCGGATATATCAAACGCATCTGATTGGTTAATGGTCCCCATCGTCTCTGATGCATCCGTCAGTCTTATTTCTGGACAGTCAAGTGGGCATTTAAATATATTGCTTGTATATGTTCTTTGTAAAACCACAGTTAATGATTGGCTGAGAGCACTTACGCATTTAGATAGACGACGCCACTCAATTAAAATCCAAGAATATACAAACAATACAAAACGCAAATAGAACAAAAATTATGTATAACAGCGGTAGCGGTGATCAGAGATACGAAAAGCTAGTTTCATATTAATAATCTGACACTGCAATTAATATGAAACTAGTCAGATTAATATGAAACTAGTTTTTCGTATCTCTGAGGATGGTTCTGAAATAGAATTGAAACACTGCGCGTCCTCTAAGACAAGCGTTAAGTCGTCACGAAAATATTTCGTACACTTAAATTGGATAAGACTCACTGCCAATCCCTGTTGACTCGATAGCTCAACAGGTAGAGCGGCGGTCTAGATACCCGAAGATGCGAGTTCAAATCCCGCTCGAGCCAACGAATTTTTCGTTGGTCGATGCAGTGTCAGATTAATATGGTGATCAATTTCAGGAATGTTCAGACCTACCCAGGGGTTGGAGGGAGGGGGTGACCAAGATAATACTAGCTCAACATACCAGTATGCCAATACTAGCTAGTAATACTAGCTCGGTAATCCTAGCTCAACATACCAGTAATCAGTATGCCAAAAATTCCAGGCCACATCTGTCTTATGAGTACTTAATCTTGGGTGAATGTAGATAGTTTGTGATAAAATTATACACGTATTATAATGAAAAAACTATATAGCAAAACTAGAATGGTGTCAATACCGAGCTGGTCTCTAGACGGCCCGAAAGTTGGCACTCACAGAAGAACTGCAAATTTAACTACATCTCCGAGAAATTAGCAATGTTAAACACATGATCGTCAAGCTGTTACAAAGCTCAGAATTTCAGCTCATAGATTACCTGTTGAAACGGCTCGACATAGCAATGTTCCGGCCATTCTATCTCCATACGATAAATGAATTTGTCAACGTCATTGCGATTAGTGCGATTTAAACGAGGTCGGAAACGAAAAATTTAATGCGGTGCAATAATACAAGGTTTAACGATCTCAGAGCAGATTTATCTATAAGCACGCTTGATTCGTTTATGTATGTTATGGCAAACAAAGACAAATCCGTGGGAACATTGGTAGCCATGCCAATCTTCGATGTCCTAACAAATTTTGATCAATTCCAAATAGTGTAATTCTAATTCTTAAGCCTGGTTTCCATATGGTCGTAACAGTCGTAAAGATTGAGTCACGATCTTTCTCATGAGTCACGATCTTTGACGGTCACGATTTTTCTCATCAGCCGAAATACAACATTTTAGAACTGAAAATACGCGAATGATTATAACTAGAGAATACTTATGATTTATATGTGGTTTACAGGTATAAACTATTTATATAAACTGCCGTCGAGAAAGATCGTGACTTACGACCATTACAACATGCATATTTGGAAACCAGGTATTAATCTTTCTGTAAATTTAATATGTTTTGGATTCTGCCGTGTACAAATATTGGTAGCTCTGTCTGAATAAAGTTCGTTTGTTTCCATCAATTCTATATATTTGCCTCCAAATACAAAACTGTATATAATAAAAATAATTCTGATTATATGGGCATCTACCTCGATAGAATTAATTGTTGAAGGATTTTGTACGTGGAAAGATTCGATTCCCAGCCAGAGGGCCTGCCGGGAAATTCCAACCGGGAGCAGTTGCGAAAACTATACAACCCTGGCAGGGATCGAACCAGCGACCCTGCGATTCCGGTGCAGCGCTCTAACTAACTGAGCTACAGAGGCGAGTTCTGGTCTCAAGTCGAGCTTTATACCAAGGCGATGCCAGTGAACGGATTATGGATAAATATCAGAATTTCGGATGTCCCACCCGATACAACTATATGTTGAAATATTTTTGTAATTGAAAATTTCGAATGTAAATTATATACATTTTCACAGCGAAACCCGCCTATGTTATATTGTACAATGTGGCTTACCTGAAATGCACTGTCGATTGTCGGATGTCAAGCAAATTCAGCAGGTTACACTGCAATTTGTCCACAAGTTACAAATTCAGACAAAAGGCTCTTCGTATACAAATAATGACAATCTTAAAGACGATTCCCAAGCGAAATCCCTAAAAATAGAAGCAGCTTTTGTATAGTCTGGCTCTATATCCCTACGACTCCGAAGCCGGATGTCTTTTGTGAGTTTTGTACACGCAATTTGAATAAGACAACATCGAGTTTATACATGCATGACAAGTGGACGAAATTAATAAATTTTCAAAGAATACATGGGAGGATCTTGGTTATAAATCATGTTTGTTTAGACACGATGCACGGGTTCTTTGTGGGTATTGTTAATGTCGTTGTTTACAAGAGTAAAAATTACAAGCTGGTTTACTCCTCTGCGGGACGCAACCTCCTAGTAAAAGCCGATTGAATGGCCAGGAACGTCAGGAACAGAATCAGGCTTCTTTAATTATGTTGATTTAAGGACCGGTTATTATTTGTGGCTGGGGGTGGGGGGTGGGGGGACTGAAATAGAAAATGGTGGGTAAACAAAAATTTTATAGGTAAGGGCATTGGGACACACTAAGGGAATCACTGTAGCTACTTCAAAATCGTTTAATTCTTTAAAACATTACATCATTAATTTCACAAATATGAAACTAATTATTTATTCACCAAAATATAATCCGGTTAATTCATAAGCGGACAGGCGGAAAAATTAACGAGGCGGACAAGAATTTGCTCGAAATTGATCGGGAAATTGCCCGACGTTATCATGGGTTTATTAGACAGATTTAGATCGAGGATGCGGACGTCAAAGACGACGTGAAAATGGCGTGTTGTGCCCATGTATGATAGAGCCTTTAGAGGAATTGCAGACGCCGCAAAAACCAAGTCGATTAATCTTTAATTCTTTAAACTATCATTATTTTGAGAATTTGTTGGATTTTTTCTTTAAAGATGAGGTCAAGTCTGTTCTGCGCATGTGCTATGTGAACGTCCTCTGATGTAAACAATACCCAAATTTCGCGTTCTTTCGACGTCTTCCGACTAAATTAAAACTCAAATCTGATCCATTTAAACGCATAGCAAACCAGAACGATGAATATAGTGTTATGAATAAGGCTTATGTACTTATGTTGATGCCTACAAATCTCACATTCAAAAATTGGTAAATATTCAAAAAAAGATAGTAAGATTAATGACTTTCAAATCATATTCTGACCATGCTGAACCAATTTTTAATGATTTAAAAATATTAAACTTGTACAAATTAAATGAATACTTAACAAGTTCATTTATGTTCCGATATTTTCATCTGCATAATCTTCCAGAAATTTTTACCAATTATTTTATGACCAACAAAGATATCCATAATTATAACACAAGAAATGCATCTTCGCTTCACAAAAAAATATAATAGAACAAATTATAACAAACACACGCTCGCTAACAAAGGAATTGATGTGTGGAATAATCTTTCTTTGCAATATAAAAAAATTAGATCTTTTCCAATATTCAAAACGGCAATGAAAAAGTATTTTCTTCATTCTTAATTCAACAAATAGAATTCTCGACAGAATTAAATTGTTGTAATATAATCTAATATCCTATCTTGCAGTTTCCTTATTTATATATATATATATATATATATATATATATATATATATATATATATATATATATATATATATATATATATATATATATATATATATATATATATATATATATATATATATATATATATATATATACGATCTATTCAAACTGAATTAATTGCCTGAAGATCGTCTTGAATAAGGCGTGAAACTTGAGTAGCAATAATTAATTTTAATATATAAATATATCTTGCTCTACTTTTGTATTAGTGTTGAGCACTTTATTATCTACTACAACAAAACAAATTATATATATATATATATATATATATATATATATATATATATATATATATATATATATATATATATATATATATATATATATATATATATGCTGTACATATATCACCTTACTTTATCTAAAAACATTTGAACTGGTAATCTATTATAATATTAATTTAATTTAAAATTGTAACTAGGGACCTTAATTAAAAAGCCTTATGGTTTCTGGAAGGTTCCTAGCCCTATTATTGTAAATACTTCTATTTTTGATTTATATTATGTAATTTGGGCGAATTAGTAAATAAATAAAAAAATAAATAAATGGTATTTCAACCTGTGTGAACAGATTTGGTAAAATATTTTACTAGTTTGCCAAAATTTCGTCAATTTCAGGGACAAAAATTTAGTAATGGGATATTTTTATAGTAAAATATTGAAAAAATTTTCCGAGATTTTGACAAATAATTCCGAACATTCAATTTTAATTCTCAACTGAGATTGGTTGGAATCACTGATCTGGTCACTGAAAACTCGGACTGGTATTCTTTCGAATTCAATCATCAACCAATTTTGAATCAGCCAGAACATTTATAATGAGATGAAATTTTAAGGTCCGTCAAAATCTCTGCAACGTGTTTAAATTAGTTGCATTATCAAGCAAATGTCTCAGTTTTGCTATGTAACTTGAAAGATATAGGCTTCCCACATCTCTTCTATTAATTAATGACGTTTTAAACACTAGATAATGAGACAATTGTGGTAGCTATCTTGGTGTGACATGATTGGTCATATCATTAGGGAGTTTGCGTCACGTTTCCGAGAATGGCAAACGGCAAGTTCGAACTTTCTTGGCAAACTTTTCGTTGAACGTTTTCATTTCATATTTCTTTCTTGCGTCGAAAGAATAATGATGTATTTTAGTTTTAAAACAGCAAGTTTATTTACTCTTTACTGCCTGATACCGTAAAATATTTATTCGCCTGGCGTTTGCCGTTTGACCTATAACGCGAAGCTTAAACTCTCTATTAGTTATTCACAGGGGAAGGGGGAAGGACCACTGTTGATAAACTGTTTCTTTTCAGACAATATTTATGGCCTTTCCCACCGATGACCAGAGACTGTAAGAACCTCTTCTACTCACGAAATTGCCATTGGCATTGGCTTAATTTATGCATAGCGAGAATTCAGGCCTTTCTCACGGCGCCGCCAAAAGTTTTTGGGGTACTCTAATTTTTCGTAAACGATTATGATAATAACAATGTGAAAAGCAATATTTCAGAACAAACTAACTATTTACAGAGTAAATTTACCATCATACACCCATAAAATTATAAAATGTCGCCGTTAAGGCCCAACTCCACGACGAGCGAAATGCGAAAAATTTCGCGCGAAAAGGTTGAACGCATGCGCAACATGATTTTGGAATGTTTCTCTGCGAAATATTTCTTTTCGCCGGGTAGTTGAATTCGTTTCTACGGCCGTTGCGAAATGGGCAGGGACGCCGGAACGATAATAGGGCAAAGGGAAGCGGACGCACACCAAGGGCACCTTTACTGAAAA